CGAGGCTATTTCCTCCAGAGGAATTTGACCTGCAGTTGCATGATCACACCTCCCTTTGAAGCTTCGGGCACAGTTCATCAGTGCATGATCAGACGCAACTGCTGGTGAGTTGGGGTTTTTTGTGCCGTTCCCCCCAATGCGCTTAACCGAGGGATCGATAAATCGCACCTCCCCACCAAGGGCTCCCTGTGAGTTTGCGATGGTGTGCATACTGCGAGGGGGGGGAAAACAACGGCATGGAGTTGGGATGGCCTGATCAGACTATCCCGACGCCATGAGAGCGTGCTTGAGTGATCAGACACAGAAAAGTCAGTCCGTGGCCCGTCACAACCTGTTAACTACTGGATTTTCCCCAATGTCTTTTAACTCCGCTTCTGCGGCGGAGCAGAACGGGTTGCCGATGGCTGTGGGGCACTTCCCAGATGTTGTTGTCTGATCGCACCATTTAAATCGGCCTGGCATTTGCACCTGTGTCGGTTCTAAATGTGCCTATGATCGCAGCCCTTAGACTAACAAAATTTGTGGCACGGTATGAGCTTTTATTTATTGCCTCAATACATTGATTTTCTAAAAAGACTTTGTACCTATCAACAGGCCTTAACATACAAGACTGAAGATTTTATCAATATACTTGTAAACATCAGTAACATATTAGACTAGGAAAAAGGCCCGTTGCGGAAATAAATACAACGACCTCTAGAAAGAGGCTCTGGGGGGGTGCCCCGACCTTGGACACTCAGTGTCAATTTGCTGTGGCGACCTCAGCAGGGTATAATGACACTGAGTCCACCATTTTCTCCAGAGGAACTGATCTCTGCTACCTAAAGAACAGTTGCAATTTTGAGTGAGCTCCAGCCCTCACCTGGAGATTGGCAACAATGGTTCCCCAGAATGGTTGGTTTGGAGGGTGGAGTCTATGGCTTTGTACCTGTCCGAGGTCCCACGCCTCCTGAAACCTCACCCTCTCCAAGCTCCATCCCTCACATCTCCAGGAATTTCCCACCTCGAGTTGGCAACCATATCTCCTTCCCAGCCAATCATCAACCTACCTTTATTTCCCCCTCACTCTTCAGCTTCCCATCCCCCACACACCTGCAGCCTCTCCCGTGCTCTGAAGCCCTGACTGCTATGTCACATTGGCTGTCATATGGGGGCCACCTCAGCAGCATATAAGGATACAGAGCCCACCATTTTCTCCAGGGGAACTGATCTCTGCCATCTGGAAAGCAGTTGTAATTCTGAGTGATCTCCAGCCCTCACCTGGAGATTGGACACATGTTACCTCAGAACAGCAAACTGTTTAGAATGTTAGAGGCAAAAGCCAATCAAGTCGCATATGCAAACGACCTCTGTGTTCTGAGGCAAAGGCCAATGAGGCTTCATATGCAAATAACCTTTGTGTTCTGACTGGCTATGGGGGGGAGAGGAACAGCAAACTGTTTAGAATGTTGGAGGCGAGACTCAAGCAATGCAGCCAGTGGATAGGAACAGATTCTGAGTGACACACCAGGGCACCAACCAATTTCGGAACATGTGGAATGTTCTAGAGAAGTGCCACCACCATTCGGCTTTTATATATAAGGGAGATAATATGAAAGTCCAGTAGCACTTACCACTAATTTTGTTAGTCTTTAAGGTGCTACTGGACTCTTACCTAATACTGCATGGTAAGTAAGCCTGAAGGTTCTTGCAGAGGCACCTCATTTCCCCCTGTATTTCCCTCTCTACACTATTTACTTTTGCCTCCATTTCAGCAGCACCCATGTTCTCTCTCTTTCCCTGCTTCCCTGCTTCCTTATCTGCTTCCCAGCTAGCCTATGTTTTATCTGCTCCCACATCTTCAGCTCTATTTATTTTTTTATTATTGGTTCTTTACTTCATTTACTTTCTCCCCAATGAGGACCTATTCTTCTCTCCATTGTATCCTCACAACAACCCTCTGAGGTAGGTTAGGCTGAGAGCATGTGACTGGCCCAAAGTCACAGTGAGCTTGTATGTCAGAGTACTAAGCATGCTTCAAGAGGCATGGGACGTTGAGAGGCAGTTAAAGGAAAAGGACAAAGGGAAACTTGCCTGACTTAATTCCTGAGGGTTTATAAGATACCTGGAGAGGTGGGGAGAGAGACAGCAAGCATTTAAACCACTCCTCATCAGCATGGCTCCTCCCTCCCGACTTCTAGCAGTGGTCAGTTCCCCTAGTTGCTATGTAAAATCAGGGTCTTGACACATAGGAGGATGCCCATATGTATCTGCCTCTTCTTGTGCAAGCCTGGGGGTGACAGGGACAGTTTATTTTAACTGGAGAGCCAGTATGGTATAGTGGTTAGACTATCACGCTATGATCTTGGAAACCCAGGTTCAAATCCACACTCTGCCATGGAAGCTTGCTGGGTAGTGCTGGGCCAGTCACACACTTTTAGCCTAACCTACCTCACAGGGTTGTTGTAAGGATAAAATGGAGGAGAGGAGAATGACATAAGCTGCTTTGGATCACCATTAGGAAAAAAGCCAGGATATAAAGAGCTGCAGCCCATGCATCCATCCGGGGCATGGGCATTTACAGCTGTTGCTGGAGGCTGGCAGTGGTAGAGCCAATAGACTCCTTTCAAGCATCTCATGACGAGTGGTTCTCCTTGGAAGTATGCAAGCAGCTCTGACTGAGCCAGTACACACTTGGGGGCCTCTGGCCACCTGGCTAGATGGGGATTGAAGCTGGGAACCCAGTTGGGAGGTGTGACCATGCTACATCAAACCAGCTAGTGGGCGAAGACCAACACGGGGGGGGGGGGAGCTGCTATGTTGGCAAGGTGGGGGGGAACAGGTGGGGGGAGGTAGAAACCTGCCCAAACTGCGTGGCTTCCTGGACCTCTTGCAATAACCTCTGCTGTCACCAGGGTCCCCAGTCCACAGGTCAGGAACTGCTGCTCCAATGGTTTAAATATTTTCTGGGAGCCTGACTCTGATCCTGGAAGTGAGCCAGGCAGGGAAACATGCTTATAGCAACAGGCCAGCAAAGAACGGGGAAGGGGAAGCTTTGTTCCCCCCCACACACACACTTTAAAAGTGGTTGCAGCCATCCCCTGTATGAAAAGAATTCAGTAGACTCTCTTGTCACAACATTTGATTCTCATTATAAAGTCTGTGCATTAATATTCCTTTTCCCTCAACTGTACCTTCTTCCTTTTTTAATATATCTTTTAGAGTGTAAACCGTGTTGGCAGGAACCTCCTTTGTACAGTACTTAGCAGAATGTTAAGCATGTAATAAATTATAAAATGGCATTTTACAGTTCTGGCAGTCCAGTTCCTGATCTTCCAAAAGGGCCTTTTGAAAAAAAAAAGGTTGATTTGTTGAGCTGTGGACATGCAGCTTACAGCACCCTGTAATTATAGATATGGTTGGTTTGCCAAGTCACAAATGCAAAGCTGAAATCAGCTGATAAGTACCCATTTCTTCAAAGTAAATGTTTCTGTCTCGACTTTTGTGTAGAGGCAGTTCTGGCGATACCAGAGAGAAAAATATAGCCAACATTTTGTGACTTTAGCTTTTAGGCCTTTTCAGTCTGAATAGATTAGGGCTGATTTCGCACTAGAGCTGCCTCAATGTTGTGCCGCCGTTTGCCCCGATACTATTGGTCAATTTCACACCCAAAGCTGCTGGGCCGCATTTTGACTCCCGGCTTCGCCTGATTTCCCCCGCAGTTTTGTAATCCTGTTTTTTGAGGATCACGAAACTGCGGAGGAAATCGGGTGAAACCGAGGGTCAAATGCAGCCCCGCGGCTTCGGGTGTGAAATTGACCAATAGTGTCGGGGCAAACGGCGGCGCAACATCAAGGCAGCTCTAGTGCGAAATCAGCCTAGGTCTTCTTATTTGTTGCTGGCTCAGATCTGGTTCCGCTGCTATCACAGGATAACATAACCTGTCACAGAGCAGTGTTTCACAGCTATTTATTCCACAAATGCCTACTGCTGAACTTCTGTATTATTTTAAAAAATCTTCATTTACTTTCTATAGAATAACTCTGTAGTTATCTAATGGTATGGTAGAACCATACAACTCAATTCCATTACTGGATTAGCTTCTAAGTAGGTTGTGTATGCATCTTGTATTTATACTATGTGAGTGTGACCCATCGGATACATCTTGTCTAATGGAGTCTGGGGATCTTACTCAGCCCTTGATGCACTGACTACATACATTTTAATGTAGGCCCCCTTAATATCACTGAGAGATGCAACACACTGCAAAGAACAAGTGGTGTTCACAGTGACCATGGAAAACGGCATCTTGAAGAGGATACTTGTAAGGCTGTCAGTCTATCGATAATAACTTCTGTATGCTTTTTGTTTTCAGCTCATTACATTGGCAAAAATGGTAAAATGTCTTCTTGTACATTGTAAGGTGCCATCAGGTTGCAAACAGTTTCCTTCGGGCCAGATGACCAGAATACAACAGCCCTGGCAGAGTTTGGGCCTTATATCCGTAAAGGTACTTTAATATGCATTGTTGCTGTTAACAGGGAGGTGGGAGTTTTTGACGTAGAAAATTTATAAAATACAATGTTTGAATTGTCATTCCACTTGTCAGTGGAACTGAAATATTACACACACAAACATGGGAGATAGTAGAGCTTAACTAACTGAAGCAGCCTCGGAATGTTAGAAGACATCTGAGATAAAATTGATCCCTATGTGATTAAGCTTATATAACATCCAAAAAGCTTTTGTTCTCAGACTGGTTTGCAGATCTATCTGCATTGCAAGAGTTGCTGTTGGGTCACTATTGATGCTTCAGCACGTAAAGTCTTGGATCCAATGTAACACATTGAACAGTTATGGGCATACCGTATAGTGCCTAACAGTGTGAACCGAGAGCCTGGAAATCTTGGGTTCAGATTTAATTTCATCTGAGAACTTGGAAAGTGACCACAGGAGAGCTATTATCCTTCCTCCTCAACCCCATTGTCAGTATGGTGATATTGGCCTACTCTGCAGAAGTACACTAAGGACGGATGAGTTTTCATGGTTTGGAGGACTGGGAATGTGCCACAGGTGCCTGCCTGTCCTCTTTCCCCTTCCTTCTCCTTTCTCATCCTCTAATTCCCTCCCTGATCCTAGTACAAGCAAAATCTAAACTCTGGTTCCCAATTTTGGTTTAGAAGGCCACCATAAAAAATATTTTGTCAATATGAATGCAATGGCAAAATGTGGTTTGCCTGAGCTAGTAAGTAAATTGGATCACACAAGAGGACGAAGGAGGGTGAGGAGGGTGTGAACCCAAAGCCTGTGAGCCTGTGACTCAGGCCAGATAGCCAAGCATGGTTTGGCTGTTTCATCCAGACTAGGTCAAAGTTGTCTATAAGTGCATGAACTGCTAAGTATGATTTTCAGCTATGTTGTTCAGAAAAGTATATTCGTTTAGCATTGTTTTGGCCCTAACTATTTTAAATCTTGTTGTTTTTACTGTCTAACCAATAATTGTCAAGTAGGTAATATTGCTGAGAATTTTTTTAACAGAGCAAGATGCTTTTGTAATGTTGTACAATAAAAATCTATCAATATTTGTAGCTGCTCATTGTCTTTTCTATATTTTATATATATATATCTCAAGAGAGAGGACAGCTGCTCTGTGAATTCAGGGGATTTTTTGCTTCAAAATATCTTCCAAGTATGTTTTGGGGAAGACAAATGTATCATCACATTGAGAGAGCTGTAGGCTATTCATTTCCTCATCCTTCCAATCAACCAGAATTCTCTGAAATATACCATGCTTTGTGAAACTTAAATACTCGATATGTACTTCCCATGGTGTTTCCACTGTTTCCAGCAGAGATGTGTTTATACTGTGTATAACTTCAAAGTTGGTAGCAATCTTATCTGATTTCTTTCCCTCCTCTGTTTCTCCTTCCTGAAGTCTTCCCTGCAGTGTTCTCTGCCCCATTCATTCAACATGAAGTTATTGGGGGATACAGCCACCTATTCACTATCCAGGGCTCCAACCCTCAGCTGCAGCCCTACATGCTGATTGCACACATAGATGTAGTTCCGGCTTCCCCAACAGGATGGGATGTGGATGACCCTTTCTCTGCTGAGGAACGTGATGGGTTTATCTACGGACGAGGAACGCTGGATAACAAAAATTCCGTTATGGTATGGTTTTGACATCATTCCTAACTTGGGAGATACGCAGAGTTTTTTGTGAGGTGACAACAAAGTTAATGTGCCACGAGAATAATGATCTACCAGCTGCTATGTGTACCTAAGAATGAAAAGAGACTGAAGGGAAATAGGAGCATTCAATACTTTAGATACTACTTTTTAACATATTGCTGGCTGCATTTTGCTACACTTCACTGATTTCTTGCAGAACACATTGTGGCTCAAGCTCTTTTAATTAGCATGCCAGCTCAGCACCCTCTCAGGCATAGCTGCTTTCCACAGGTAGTAGCCCTTGGAAAGTCACACGAGTAAGTTCCTGCACCTTCCCACATCTTATAGAAATCAGTCCTCACTCAGTCAATTTGAAACGTATTGAACGCTGTGTGTATGAACTATACTTTGGACACATGAACACATGAAGCTGTCTTATACTGAATCAGACCATTGGTCCATCAAGGTCAGTATTGCCTACTCTGACTGGCAGCAGCTCTCCAGGGTCTCAGGTGGAGGTCTTTCACATCACCTGATCCCTTTAACAGGAGATGCTGAGGACTGAACCTGGGACTGTCTGCATGCCAAACAGACACTCTGCCACTGAGCCACACCCCTCTCCCTTTCTAGTTAGTTTTGTTGCTCACAGAATGAAGTATGTTCTATAGCCTCCATGATGCAAAATGGTATGGTGTTGAACATTTTGTCAGTGGAACATTTTGTCAGGGGATTCTGCAGGCTCTAGAGTTCTTACTGAGACGAAATTATAGGCCTCGCAGGTCTTTCTATATTGGCCTTGGGCATGATGAAGAGGTATTGTGTTATGCCTTTGTCATTTTCCTCTTGTATATCTATGTATTTAGATTTATTTTCCACCAGAGGCTGAAACAATAAACTCCGACATGGAATCCAGTGGCCCGCAGTGTTAATGAACAAGTAGGTCAGATTGCTGCTCCTTTGCTTGAAGATTCTCTGATGTTTTTTGCTGCCCTAAGGTATCTTCCATGTACTGTAGAACTAGATGTCTGTTTGCTGCTTGCCTGTCAGCAAAATAGAAATGAAGGATTTGCTGAGCAGCTGTTTTTCCTGCTGCAGTAAACATATTGGTCTTTACACAAGTTAATGTAGCAAAGACTTTATTAGGGAAGAGCCTAAACTTCATCAGCCTAAACATATGGAGCAGAGGTCCATCAGTGGCTATTAGCCACAAGGTATACATAGGAATTCTGGGGCAAGTGGTGCTCTGTATTCTTGGTTCTAGAGGGTTTGTGAGCAGCTCCAGAGGGATCTTTCAAGGCTGGAGTGAAGTTCAGCGTGGGCAAGTGCAAAGTGATGCACCCTGGAGCCAAAAATCCCAACTATAAATACACATTGATGGGGTCCGAACTGGCAGAGACTTACCAGAAGAGAGATCTTGGGGTCATGGTAGATAACTCACTGAAGACGTCGACTCAGTGTGCGAATGCAATAAAAAAGGCAAATGCTATGATGGATATTACGTAATGCCCCTGTATAAATCTATGGTGGGGTCTCATTTGGAGTACTGTGTACAGTTCTGCTCATCACACCTCAAAAAAGATACTGCAGCATTGGAAAAGGCGCAGAAAAGGGCAACTAAAAAGATTAAATGGATGGAACACCATCCCTACGAAGAAAGGCTAAAGAGGTTAGGGCTCTTTAACTTGGAGAAATGACAATTGAAGGGTGACATAATAGCAGTTTACAGAATTGAGATACAGAAGATAGAGAAAGAAGTACTTTTCTCCCTTTCTCACAATACAAGAACTCGTGGGCACTCAATGGAATTAATGAGCAGTAGGGTTCAAGAAAGCTTCAAGAGTGGGTTGGATAAACATATGGAGCTGAGGTCCATGAGTGGCTGTTAGCCACATGGAACACTATGTCTGGGGCAAGTGATGCTCTGTATTCTTGGTCCTTGGGGGGGCAACAGTGGGAGAGCTTCTGCTGTCCTGGACCTCCTGATGGCACCTGGTATTTTTGGCCACTGTGTGACAGAGTGTTGGACTACATGGGCCATTGGCCTGATCCAACATTGGCTTCTCTTATGTTCTTACGTTCTTAAGAGGCATAATAACAATGAGCTTACAAATTCATTATTAGAAACAGAGCACTGCACTGTGTTACGTTTCCTTATGCTACCGGAACAAGACCAGCTATTGCAGTGAATATATACTAGTGTAGTAGCTGCTATACTTGTGGCACTCAATATGCCTCTGAGTGCAGGATTATAACAGGATTCAGAAAATAATGTTGTTGTTACAAATGAAATAATGCAAAGCTTGTTTAGTTGCAAACTTCAGTGCTTAGAAACAAAGCAAATCACTTGATGACTCTTGTAGAAGATCCCTATGTAGATCCTCCACTAATGTACAGGCTCATTGCTGCTGCCTAAAACAGCATAGTCAGCAAATGGCTTGATATGCTAAGATAATATTGTTGTGGATTTGGCAGGTGGATGGTCAAAAAGGAGCAGTGAAGATTGCAGCTGAGCTGGAATCTAGAGGAGTGAAACTTTCTTTCTTGCTTGATGAGGGAATGTTCATTTTAGATGGGGTCGTAACAGGACTAAAGAAACCTGCAGCTATGTAAGTATGGAAGGATGAACATTTGCCCATATTAATGCTGCCTGTGACTCCTGCTGCTATAAGAGCCTCTCTGCTGGTCTAGACAAGCAAACAGGTTTTCTCAAAGCTATGTGACAAAAAAGTGCATCCCCTGGAACAGCGATATACAACCAATGGCTCTGCTGCTTTCTGTGCTGGCAGCCAGACCTGGTACATCCTTCTCAGCCTCTTCCCTCACTCTACCCAGAAGCCCCATGGAGGCATGGCCAAGCC